GTACATGGCTGGCGCCTTAGCCGGTTGAGCCATAGGCGCCGAGCCCAATCTACTTATTAAGTAGGTTGACTACCCAAGGGACTTTAATGAACTGGTCAACATATGGAGGTGGTCAGTGTAGGGAGGCCGTCAACTATGGAGGTTCTGCTAGACAGTCCAAGTCCTATAATAGCTCCTATAGGTACATTTAAGTATAGCATACCGTGTTTCCCTGAAAATAAGACACTGTCTTACATTTATTTTTTCTCAAGAAGACACACTAGGGCTTATTTTCAGGGGATGTCTTATTTTTATTAAGTATAATACGACAATCTACATTTATTCAAATACAATTAAGTCATCTTCTTCTGGAACCTGACAGGGGAGCTGATCTTGTTGGTGGGACTGGTGCTAGTGATACATGAACTCCTTTCCTTTAGCTGTTCGCAGGTGCGCAATAGGATACCTGCGACTGCGGTTACCACAGTTACCACACTTGCACCCCCACAAGTGCGAACAGCTCGGAGAAAGGAGCTGGGGCAGATAAAAGGTATTCCAGTCTTCCTTACCGCTCAGTGCCAAGATGTATGGCGTGGCTATGCAGATACGTTGCATAGCCATGCCCATCAATACGTCTTATTATCAGGGTAGGGCTTATATTTAACAAATGCATAGAAATCCTGCTAGGGCTTATTTTTTGGGTAGGTCTTATTTTTGGGGAAACACAGTAGTAAAGCTATGACCAACCCCCCTCCCAAATTCTAGGTTTGTCTATCTAGCTGCTTACTCTACTCCACCTGGATCTCTATTAGACATCTCCCTCACCCTTAGCATGTCAAAAACTGAACCCTGGGTATCCTCACCCTAAATTGGCCTCACTCATAGCCTTCCTATGTCTACTTGTGAAAACGCCATCTTTCTGGCAAAAGACACTGTTAGTGAGATCATAATTGGCATATGGTGGAAAGGTCAGTTTGAATTAAATTGTGCCTGGCTGTGATTTAACAAGAGTTTATAAATGTATATTTATATATGGATTTTTTTTTATTTGTAGGATGAAGAAAATGGAAACAGAGGAGGTAAGCTATAGGAATTTTAATTTGTTTCTAAATATTTGGTACCCATGTCTTCTGTTCTTTGAAGTAATATTAAGAGAGACAATATAGTTTTTAGAGTTCAAATATATAGCAGTTTTTAGGTGTTATAGAAATTAAGTATATTTTCCTTCAGACTTCAAAGTTTTTATGAATTCCATTGTCTCATTACCATAATTTGAACATGTAATGATTTTATTATTAATTACATACGAGCATTTATGTGGGGGAATATATTATAATCCCAGGGAAAGTAACTCTGAGATTTTTATTTCAATTAGTAACCCTTCTAAATTTAGTGATTCTTTTAGGTAAGGAATGCTATGTGTTTTATTAACTAGATTTATTGACCCAAATATTGAAAAGAAGAGGGTTCTTCTGGGTTATTCTTCTAGTTAATCATACTTTTGGTTTAGACATTAATTAATGAGCTTAAAAGGAGAATCAGGCTGGGGAGAGGATTATTTCTTACTAATTCTGATATATTTTTGTTTTAATTTTAAATCAACTTTAATGAGTTAAAATTCACACACAGCAAAATACACATGAAAAAGCTTTTATTTTCACATAATTTTAGACAACAACATTGCAAAAATAGTAGAGAGGGTTTTCATATATCCTTCATCCAACTTCCTCTAGTTTTAAAAACTTACAATTCTATGGTATAATCAACAAAAGTAAGAAGTTAGCATTGGGCGATAACTGTCATCTGAAGGACAGGCTTTGTTTGGATTCCACCAGTTTCCCTGCTAATGTCCTTGTCCTGTTCCACGTTGCATTCACCTGTCAGGTCCTCGGGGTGTCCAGACTGTGGCATTTCTCAGTCTTTCCTTGTATTTTATGACCTTGATGGTTTCAAAAAGTTTCCAGTCAGTTACTGTCTGGACTGCCCTTCACTTTGGTTTGGTTGATGTTTTTCCATCATTGGTTCAAGGTTATGCATTTTTAGTGAGAATATCATATTTGCACTTATGAGTTTATAGTTTACTGAGTTTATTTTTTTTAAACCAATGTTTATTTTCCATCAACCTTGTTTCCATCTTCAGTTGGGTGAGTTTTTTTTGTTTTTGTTTTTGTTTTTGGAGACAGTCTCACTTTGTTGCCCTCAGTAGAGTGATGTGGCATCAGAGCTCACAGCAACCTCAAACTCTTTGGCTCAAGCGATTCTCTTGCTTCAGCCTCCTGAATAGCTGGGACTATAGACACCTGCCACAATGCCTGGCTTTTTTTTTTTTTTTTTTGAGACAGAGTCTCACTTTGTCACCCTCTGTAGAGTACCATGGCATCATACCTCACAGCAACCTCCAACTCTGGGGATCAAGTGATTCTCTTGCTTTAGCCTCCTAAGTAGCTAGGGAGTACAGGCGCCTGCCCATAACATCCAGCTATTTTTAGAATGGTGTCTCATTCTTGTTCAGGCTGGTCTTGAACCTGTGAGCTCAGGGCAGTCTACCCGCCTTGGCCTCCCAGAGTGCTAGGATTACAGGTGTGAGCCACCACACCTGGCCTTGTTCATCATTCTATAAGGTTTTCTGTGCTCCTTGTACTCTGTTGGTGCTAGATAAAATTAATCTACTTTCTGTCTTTTTCTTTTAAGACTTTTTGAGATAAGGTCTCACTCTGTTGTTTAGAGGGCAGTGGCATCCTAGCTCACGTACATCAACCTTAAACTCTTGGGCTCAAGAGATCCTCTTGCCTTAGCCTCCCACGTAACTGGCCACCATACCCAGCTGATTTTTCTTCTTTGGTAGAGTTGGGGTTTTGCTTTTGCTCAGGCTGGTCTCAAACTCCTGAGCTTAGGCTATTCACCTGCCTCAGCCTCCCAGAGTGCTGGGATTACAGGCATGAGCCACCGTGCCCAGCCTGCTTTCTGTCACTATCATAGTGTTTTGACCCTTGTAGAATTCCTTATAAATGGAATAATACAACATGTTCTCTTTTGTGTATTTTGCCTGGCATATTTTGGAGGTTTATTGTATTCTGTGTATTGATACTGATATACCATCCTCCCTTTTTTGGCTGCAGTTTTCCTTTGTATGAACATATCACAAATGGTTTACCACTCACCTATGGTGGACCTTTGTAATACCCATTGATGTCTTGGAAAGGTTAAGCTGAACATATCACAAATGGTTTACCACTCACCTATGGCGGACCTTTGTAATACCCATTGACGTCTTGGAAAGGTTAAGCTAAGGGTTAAAAAGAGAGGAAAATGGTTTCTTTCAGCACTAGGGAAAGTGATCTGAGGGAGCAGGGCCAGGTAGGCGTCTTTATAGTTGTCACTCGTGCCAGATGAGCCACTCCTGCGTCACCATCTGTCATGCACCAGCGTTCAGGACGAATTCCAAGAGCTACTTGGCATGGACTAGAAATAAGCTTTTAGTGGTGAAAGTGAAAATTTACAAAACTAGCATCAGCAAGGGGAAAGAGGATACATGTCCTCTGTCCCCCCAGCATCTACAGACTGATGTGCCATTGCTAGGGCAACCTGCTGGACACACAGCACCTAGAATTTTATGCCTATTATGGGGGAAATAGACTTCTAATAAATGTAGAAGGACACAGTCATACCTGTGAACACCTAATGACAAACAATTCATGTAAAGTTTTGGGAAGACCTCAAATTTAGAGACCCTGAACACCTTCCAGGAGCCATCGTCACCTGTTACTCAATTCTGAATGCCTGCCTAAGAGTGGACCTGGAAGGTTCAATGAGTTTAAAAGGAGGGTTCTACCTTGGTCGCACCTTTGCTCTCCAAGTGTAGACTTGTTCATGTCATCCCAGTTGATGTTTGGGGTCATAGCTATTTATTCCACAAAGGCCTGTTTAGCTTAAATACACACGTAATAGTCACATTATCATTTCAACGAAAAATAGTCAATGATTAGACCATATTTTATGTAAAAAACATTTCTTCTGACTTCTAAATGATTTTTTTTTTCTTTTTTGCAGTTTTTGGCCGGGGCTGGGTTTGAACCTGCCACCTCCGGTATATGGGGCTGGCGCCCTACTCCTTTGAGCCACAGATGCCGCCCCTCTAAATGATTTTTTTATAGATGAGTTTTAGCATGCCTCCAATTCATAGATAACCTATATAATTTTTTTAATTCAGTGGAATGTTAGAATTTTTATTTTATACTCTCATTTCCTTTTAAAACTTACTTTCTTTTTGTTTATTTATTTTTGCAGTTTTTGGCTGGGGCTGGGTTTAAACTTGCCACCTACAGCATATGGGGCTGGCGCCCTACTCCTTTGAGCCACAGGCACTGCCCATTCTTCTTCTTTTTTTTAAATAGTAATTTTTTTTTAAATTTCAGGTTACTGTGTAGGTACAAACAACCAAATCACAATATTTAAATTTGTTAGGTAGAGTCCCTCTTTTGAACTTATTTTCAAACCATATTGAGGTTATGGAATCCTTTTTTATAGAATTTTATTTTAAAAGTGATAGAATCTCAGCCTTCAGCATAATGGTTGGAGTCAAAGCTTAGAATCACTGGAAAGAGAATAATTGCCAGATTTTTATTCCAACTCTTGGCCAAAATTCTGTGAAACAGTTGAAAGATTTTCTTTTGGTGTTCCTTCTTTTTGGCAATTTATTGAAATCTTTTATGTGTGCACTCTCTTAGGTTTTCAGATTGTTTTAACATTGTTGGTTAGGTTTCTATACTAAGATACAAATATATTTATAAGAAGGTCATTTAAATAGAAGAATTTTTTAATGATAATAATTGCTTGTGGATAATTGATGTCCTGTTATCTCTTAAATCTTTGGAGAAAATATTCATAAATAATCAAAGAAAGAATAATCAAGTATTAATTCTGTTAATTTTTTTTCCTGTTTATTCCATAAGTTAAAATTCTATCTCTGTTTAGTGGTAGGGACATTTTTACAGTTCTAAAATGGGGGTATTATTTTGTTAAGGTACATGAATAACTTTTGGCAATAAAATTTATGTTCAAGCATGTTAATCGTAGAAAAAAAAGGAAGTAGGAGTCTGCAAATTTTCTCAGTAGTAAAAATTTGTATTGTAATTATAGTTGGTTCTGACTAAACAGCTCTGTAAGCTGAGGATGGCCAGGGTCCCACAGACGCCAGAATTGGAACCTGGATAGCTGCTAAATGCAGAGAATAAATGACGGAATAAAAATGACAAGGAAATATTGAAGTTTGAGCTTTCAAAGCCCCAATTCTGTTATTTTATGGATGATTTGAAAGATATTCACAGTTAATTTTGATTACATACAATTTCCCTGTGAACTGATTTCCGTGTAAGGTCCCCCCCTCACTATATCATCTTTCTCTCATCATAATACTTGCAAACATCCTAGAGATGAATCTGATTGGTGCAGTTCATCATTTAATGCCAGCTTCATAGCCTCTGCTGTGTTTAGAGATCAAATGTTCAGTCAAATGAAAAGAAAAATTTTGTGAAGCTGAGAAAATGGAGTATACTTTATGCTACTGGTCTCTATTCTATTAATAGGTTGCAAACCCATTTTTTCAGAATAATATAACACTAAAACATGGACATGAACATTTGTTGCAAGAAGAAATTTTATTATGGGCAGGCCTGTGTTCTGAGGTTTTGGGGTGAGAAAGAAGCAGCATGTTTATATTGCTTTTAAAATGTAGTGATACTGGCTCAGTGCCTGTAGCTCAGTGGCTAGGGTGCCAGCCACATACACTGAAGGTGGTGGGTTCGAGTCTAGGCCGGGCCTACCAAACAACAATGACAACTATAACCCAAAATGTTGCCAGGTGTTGTGGCAGGTGCCTATAGTCCCGGTTCCTTGGGAGGCTGAGGCAAGAGAATCACTAAAGCCCAAGAGTTTGAGGTTGCTGTGAGCTGTGACACCATGGCAGTCTACTGAGGACAACATAGTGAGACTCTGTCTCCAAAAAAAAAAAAAGTAGCGATACTAACTGAGCTCTGTGGATCTCTTTTCTGATGTCCTTAAGAAGGAACATTGAATCAAC